AGGTTGCTGTGAGCAAGGTGATGACACGGCATTCTAGCCGGGAGATAGGAGTTGAGACTCTGCCTCAAAAACAAAACAACAGAATGGTGTCAAGACATGTAACAAGGAAAAAAGTAAACTAAAGGGTGCTGCTGAATGCTCCACCTGCACACGCGCCGCACGCGGCACAGCCGTAGCCACTCAGAAACTCTCCGCACCACAGCAAACAACACCACGTGTCTCCAGCACCTGGAAAGTCCTCACAGGGCCAGGGACCAAAAAGCCCATGGACACCACAGACCAATCCCGGCCTTGGCCTGAGTGGCTTGCCACAAGCCCCGTCAGAGCCCGGCAGAAGACCCTTCAGGGAGACTCGGCAGGACTGGGAACCGTGGACGTCCTGCCCTCGCAGCCAGTTCTCCATGCAGGGGAGCAGGTCCAGGGGACGTGGAGGCGTTCCTGACTCTCCCTTTTGCTCCTCTTGCCTACAAGAGACCTCCAGCCGGGGATGCTGGGAGGGTGGGCCCCCCTGAGAGCCAAGCTCTCGGAACCCGCCAATTCCCGGCTCCTCTGCTAAGACTCTGGGCACGCGTCTCCACGCCTGCGATCTCTCTGTGGACACCGTGTCAGAGTCTGGTTCAGTAGGGCGACCACGTGAGGCGAGCAAAGGCCAACGGCACTGGTGACTTCCTGCGCACACCGCTCCACCTCTGCTCTGAGGTGGCCGCAGGCTTTGCAGACAGGCACGCGGGAGTCGGCGTGCCCGGCCTCTTGCAGCCACGGCGAGCGAGCCCACCCTCCTGGGCCCCGCACCCAGCCCAAGCCGCCAGTCCTGGCAAACCAATGTCTGCCTGCCAGCTACCCTTTAACACTTCAGTCCGGGCGCCAACGGCGAGACACCTCGCCTGCAAGCGGCCTCGCGTAGTCCGCAGGCGTCTGTGCTGGCGTCGACGACGCGTCCTCTTGCCTCTATGTGTGAAGAGAAAGCTTGGAAGCACTGGAAGGTGTTTCCTTTACAGGCAGCGTTGACTTGCAATGTGAATCAGAACAGGTAAATACATGATGTTCATGACGGTTATTTTAAATGTTTGCAATTTTATTTTGATAAATTGAAAAACTGAGAAAAGTTCAGTATCACGGCTGTCGGGTCAGTCGCTGTGCGTTCGTCTGTGGCTGTCGGACTACAGTCGAGCCGGACTGTGCGCAGTTCATCTGGTGGCTGTGGACTACAGTCGTCACTGGGGGCTGCTGCGCGTCGTCTATGGCTGTCGATACACGTCGGACGCCAGGGCTGTGTGAGTTGGTCTGTGGCTGGGTCGATACAGTCGAACCGGGCTGTGCGCGTTCGTCTGTGGCTGTCGGGAACTACAGCCTGACGCGTGGGTACCAAAAGTGGTAAAGCGCTTCCAAGGGCCCTGAGGCTGGCGAGTGGA